CATATTTGTACTTCCACACTTTCTAGTTTCACCATTCCGTTGTTCGCTAACTTTGAGACGCACTACCTAGGAGGTGCTGTTGAAAAAGGTGGCCCACTTTGGATGCTTTAGGATTCGATTGGGCAGCTTTGACACTGGCTATGGGGTGTTCCTTTGGAGGTCAAAATTACTGTTTGTTCTTGTAGGTTCTGAATGTTTTGCCAGCACCACGAGCTCCGACAGCGCCAGCACCTCGAGCACCAGTAGTACCTCCAGCACCTCCAGTGCCTCCAGCTCCAGCTCCAGCGCCTCCAGCACCAGTAGTACCTCCAGTACCTCCAGCACCAGCAGTACCACCACCTCCAGGGTCAGCAGCTCCCGCAGCTCCAGCACCAGTAGCACCAGCACCTCCAGTGCCACCAGCTCCAGTACCTCCAGCACCGGAAGCAGCTCCAGTACCTCCTGCACCAGCAACACCTCTAGTACCTCCAGTAGTACCTCCAGCACCTCCAGCACCAGCAGCACCTCCTGGACTAGTAGCTCCAGCACCAGCAGGGCTGTACCCTCCACCACCAGGACTGCCTCGCAGAACGACCCACGCACGAATCGCCTGCGGCGAGAGCGGCTCAAGTAGAGCAGGCTGCGGTGGCTGTCCAGCTCCAGTACCTCCAGTAGTGGTAGCTCTAGCACCTCCAGCTCCAGAAGCACCTCTAGTACCTCCAGCTCCAGCACCTCCAGCACCAGCAGCAGCTCCAGTACCTCCAGCACTAGTAGTACCGCTAGTACCTCCAGTAGGACCTCCAGGCCTAGTAGCTCCAGTACCTCCAGCTCCAGGACCTCCAGAAGGACTCGCAGCACCCCCAGAGTCAGCACCCGAAGTCTCAGCACCCCCAGAGTCAGCACCCAAAGTCTCAGTACCCTCAGTCCCAGCACCCGCAGTCTCTGCTCCAGCGTCCACAGCAGTAGGCTGCAGAGGCGGCGAAGACGGCAGAGGTGGGAACCCAGGGGGGGTAGCCAGACGAGGAGAGCGGGCACCCCCAGACTCACCACCCCCAGCCCCAGCTCCAGTAGTCTCAGCTCCAGAGTCCACAGCAGCAGGCTGCGGAGGTGGCGAAGACGGCCGTGGCGGAAAACCCGGGGGGGTCGCCAAGCGAGGAGTGTGGCGAGTGGTCGCCGTGTCGTCGGCGACGGCGTCACCCCCCTCAGGTGAGTCAGAGGAGTCTGAAGAGATCTCAACTGGCTCATCCAAGGGGGGTGGGTCTACCTGCGACACACCTGAGGGAGCAGGACCCTGTGGGGGGAGGGGGTCTACCGGAGGGGGGACTGGTACCAGGAAGAGGGGTGCAAGGGGGACCGGGTGGGACGCGTGCGGGTGAAGTCGGTAGTAACAGACCGACTCGTCGAAGGTGACGTCCTGAGAGGACAGAACACGACGCGAGGCAGGGTGGTAGAACTGCCAGGGTGGAGCGTCGGTGGGGAAGCCCAGGAAGACACAGCGGAGAGTGCGAGGAGAGAGCTTGCTCGCTTTGGTATCGCGAACAAGGGAGAGCGCGCCCCAGACCCGAAACGACGACACATCACCAGGCTGTCCCGTCCAACGAAGTGTGGGTGAGGTCTCTGGAGCAGAGACACGGGGCCAGAGGTTGAGCTGATGCGCGGCGTATCGGACCGCAAACGGCCACAGGAAATGGGGAGCAGCCGCATGGATCATGGAGGTACGAGCAACCTCCATGATAAGGCCAATGCGACGCTCAGCGATCCCATTTTTCTGCGGAGAGGCCGGAAGCGTGAACGACTGGGCGATGCCCTCATCCTGGCAGAACGTCTCAAGGACGCCAGAAGAGAACTCACCACCCCTGTCAGAGTGCAAACGCAGGACTGGGAAGTCCTGCTGAAAGCGCTCGTGTAGCTGGAGACGAGTAGCACGGATCCAGGGGATCAAAACACCGCTGACGTCCGCCTTGCGACGCAAGGGGAAGACTGTGGTGTAGCGTGTGTAGTCGTCAACAACCAGCAGGAAGTAGCGCTCCTGGTCCGTCCAACCGACGGGGGCCGGGCCCCACACGTCCAGGTGGAGAGTCTGCAAAGGAGCAGTGGTCAGAGGAAACTCGGAGGAGTGAGGAGCGGCGCGCTGCCGCCCCTCAACGCAAGGAAGGCACGGCGGCGCAAGTGAGCGCGGGAGGGGGGGCAGGGTCTCAGGGAGGCCGGTGACCAGGAGCCGGGAGTGCATGCCGCGCAGACGCTGCAGGGAGGGGTGACCAAGACGGTGGTGCCAGCGCTGAGTCTCGTGCGTGAGTACTCTGCACGAGAAAGACGCAGCTAACTGCCCTGACGCAGACGCTCGACTCGACGCAGCTACCTGACCTGACTCAGCCACCTGTGCGGACGCAGTGGTCAGTGTGTACAGACTAGACCCAGGCTGTCGAGTGAACGTAGCCAGGTGACGTCCTATCCGGGAGCACGTACAGATCGCCACACGGTGCCCTCCAGGAATAAAGGTATCAACCCAGACATCCTGAATGGCAACGTTGCTCACCAAGTTCGTCGAGAACGTGGGGAGGTGGAGACCAGACAAAGAGCCGGAGGGGACTCCTGGACAAGGGAGGACCGTGGAGGCTCTCGCAACCACTGGGCCCCCAGAGGGGTCAGCCAGTGAGACTGGGACAGGTGCTGTGAGTGGTGTGACTGTGGTGCAATCACGGAAGAAGCAACGTGACGCGCCTGAGTCAATCGTGAAAGTGTGCAAGACCTCAGCTGAGGCAGGACATGTGGTAGTAGACGCACTAGCACCTAGAGCGTCGGTAGACTCACGGGCACCTAGAGCTGCAGCAGGCTCACTAGCACCTGGAGCGGCAGCAGACTCACTAGCACCTGGAGCAGCGGTCCTAACAGAACGATAACCTCCACCACCAGGACGACCTCGCTGAATAACCCACGCACGAAGCTGCCGAGGGGTGGGGTCGTCCGGGAGAAGCAGTGCCTGCTGCTGTCCACCCGTGGCCGCAGCAACTGCCGCGGAAGTGGCCATGACAGACAGTAACTGTCAGGAGTAGGTCCAGCACCTCCAGCTCCTACAGCGCCAACAGCACCTCCTGCACTCCCAGCAGCACCTCCTCCACTCCCAGTAGCACAAGTAGCAGCAGCAGCAGTAGTAACAGCAGCAGGGCGGTTCGGTGGGGCTGGGAGGCCGCACCTCCACCACTCCCAGCAGTACTCCCTCCAGCAGCAGCAGTAGCAGGGCGGCTCGGGCAGCAGCAGCAGCAGCAGCAGTAGACCGAGTAGCACTAGCTGTAGCAGCAGTAGTTGCAGCAGCAGTAGCAGTGACAACTCAGGTTGGGCGGCGCGGCTCGGACAGGGCGGCGCGGCTCGGGCTCAGTGGCGGAGCAGCAGCGGCAAGTAGCAGCAGCAGCCGGCGCTCAGTAGCAGCAGCAGCAGCAGCAGCAGCAAGGAGGAGCAGCTGCAGCAAGTAGCAGCAGCAAGGAGGAGCAGCTGCAGCAAGTAGCAGCAGCAGCAGCAAGGAGGAGCAGCTGCAGCAAGTAGCAGCAGCAGTAGCAGGGCAGTGCAGGCGGCAGCAGCACTGCAGCAGCACTTCAGGCGCAGCAGCGAAGCAGCAGCAGCAGTAGCAAGTGCCGTACTAGTAGCAGCAGCAGTAGTAAGTGCCGTAGTAGCAGCAGCAGCAGTAGCACTAGCTGTAGCAGCAGGAGCTTCAGTAGCAGCAGCAGTGACAGTTCGGGCTGGGCGGCGCGGCTCGGACACAGTGGCAGAGCAGCAGTAGCAGTTGTAGCAAGTGCGGTAGTAGCAGCAGCAGCAGTAGCACTAGCTGTAGCAGCAGTAGCTTCAGTCAGTAGCAGCTGTAGCAAGTGCCAGCTGTAGCAGCAGTAGCGTCAGTAGCAGCAGCAGTGACAGCTCGGGCTGGGCAGCGCGTAGTAGCAGTAGGCGCTCGTGGGCTGTGGGCGTGCAAACCAGGGGCGCGCAACAGGTGCGCGCGGGGCAGCTCTACAAGGGGCGCACAACAGGTGCGCGCTAGGGGCTGGCGGGTAGCGTGAGTGGCGCGCGCAGCAGCAGGAACGAGGGGGGGACCGGGCGTAGGGGCTGACAGGCCGCGCGAGTGGCGTACGGGGCAGCTAGGCCGCGGTCAGGAGGGGTCGCGCGTGACTAGGTAGCCTAGGGGACGGGACGCGCCTATGGCAGAAAAACGTCTCGCCTAGGGCGCGTTTCGCGTTTCGTGTTTCTCCTAGGGGCGCGACTCGGGCAGCAGTTCGAAATCGTAATGGTGGGCCCGTTAAAAATTTCGATCCTTAGGAGCATTTCGCTCTTAATACCATGTTGAAGCTAGGAGCTAGGTGAGGATGGTCGATTAGGTAAGGGGGGGGTTACAAGGACTATCGAGAGTGAATGTTGTACCCTCTAAGGAAGGAACCCTACACAATCTAGAGTGAAATAAGCAGAACAATATGTTTTGACAGTTCTCCCCTCAGCTGGGCATTCTCCTGCTCCAGCTGCTCCATCCATGACCTTCCTATGAGGTGATTACCGCATGTCATGGCTGTGCCATCCCTGCGCATGCATGGCAGGCATGTTGGTTATGGCCATTCCTGTCTGTCAAGCAGAGGAAACAGCAGCAGCAGCAGCGGCGGCATTCATGTCATGGCTGTGCCATCCCAGCAGTGTGCATGGTGGGCATGCCGGTTATGGCCATTCCTGCCTGTCGAGCAGCAGTTAATTTTTCTTTGAGCCTCTCGTTTTCTGCTCGCAGCTGAACGCTCTCCTGCTCCAGCTGCTCTATCCTGTGAGGCCACATTCATGTCATGGCTGTGCCATCCCAGCAGCGTGCATGGCGGGCATGCTGGTTATGGCCATGCCTGGCTGTCGAGCAGCAGCTAGTTCCTCCCTAAGCCTCTCGTTTTCTGCTCTCAACTGAGCGTTCTCCTACTCCAGCTGCTCCATCTATGACCTTCCTATGAGGCGCAGCTGAACGATCTCCTGCTCCAGCTGCTTTATCCTGTGAGGCCATACCCATGTCATGGCTGCGCCATCCCAGCAGCGTGCATGGTGGGCATGCTGGTTATGGCCATTCCTGTCTGTCGAGCAGCAGCAAGCTCCTCCCTGAGCCTCTCGTTCTCTGCTCGCAGCTGGGCGTTCTCCTGCTCCAGCTGCTCTATCCGCGTTGTTTGCTCTGAGTCCTTCCTGTGACGGCCACAGGGACAGCGCAAAGAAGAAGGGTGATAGGTGGGCACGTTTAGGAAGAAGCAGAAAGAAGAGGAAAAAAAGAAGAGAAGAAAGTTGAGGTATTGCCATTAAATAAAATTTGCGAAGCTATGACACAGCACCACAATGAACTCCACAGCCGCACTCCTTAACCGTTCAGCACCGCACTGGATTCCACACTATCTCTCACCTGTTCATGGAGCTCTGGAACGACTTGAGGCTGCAATTCCCCGTTTCAAGTGTCTCACACTTGCGCTAGAAGCCAGCCACTTCCAACTATGTTGGAATCACTTCCGACTCTCTAACACAACACAGAACCGCACAGCACCGCACAGCAGAGCTCCTCTTTCTCACCTGTTCATGAAGCTCTGGAACGTCTTGAGGCTCCGGTTCTCTGTTTCAAGAGTCTCACACTTGCGCTTCAAGCTGGCCACATCTGGCGACCCCAACCCGGCACCAGTGACTCCAGCCGTGCGCCCCTTAGCCTCTGCCATCCTGTGCCGACGAGGAAAGAAGAGGAAAACAAGAACAAACAAGGGGCGAGGGGATAGTGGGTTTTTCATGCGTACGCGCTTCAAGCTGGTCACATCTGGTGATCCCAATCCAGCACCTGCAGCTCCTCCAGTGCGCCCCTTGACCTCTGCCATTCTGTGTGGGCAAGGCAAGAAGAGGAAAACAAACAAGGGATGAGGGGAATAGTGAGTCCAAACAACACGATCCCAACCCGGCACCTGTGACTCCTGCCGTGCCCCCATTGGCCTCCGCTGTCCTGTGTGGAAAGGGCAAGAAGAGGAAAACAAACAAGGGATGAGGGGAATAGTGAGTCCAAACAACACGATCCCAACCCGGCACCTGTGACTCCTGCCGTGCCCCCAATGGCCTCCGCTGTCCTGTGTGGAAAGGGCAAGAAGAGGAAAACAAACAAGGGATGAGGGGAATAGTGAGTCCAAACAACACGATCCCAACCCGGCACCTGTGACTCCTGCCGTGCCCCCATTGGCCTCCGCTGTCCTGTGTGGAAAGGGCAAGAAGAGGAAAACAAACAAGGGATGAGGGGAATAGTGAGTCCAAACAACACGATCCCAACCCGGCACCTATGACTCCTGCCGTGCCCCCATTGGCCTCCGCTGTCCTGTGTGGAAAGGGCAAGAAGAGGAAAACAAGCAAGGGACGATCGTGGGTAGGGGAGGGGTGTGTTGTGGTGAGTGTCCCATGTGTGTGTGCTTGGCCTCACTACAGGGAGTGATGGAAGCAGAGGGAGTGAGAGAGGAGGGAGTGCGGGAGGCAGAGGGAGTGAGGGAGGCAGAGGGAGTGGTGGAGGCAGAGGGAGTGGTGGAGGCGGAGGGAGCGAGGGAGGAGGAAGGAGTGAGGGACTTACTTGCGTTGCCGCTCCACTCTGTGTTGCCTTGACGAGTCGCCAAACGGGGAGTGGGGCACAGTGGGAGTGAGGCAGGCCGAGGGGGTGTGTGCGCCAGAGGGAGTGAGGGAGCCGGTTCTAGCAAGGGATGGCCCGTCACAGGGATAATGGTCCAACGGGCCAGACCCACCCCTCCTCGCCTGCTGCTTTTGAGTCGACTCAAAAGCGCCAGAGGGAGTGAGTGAGCCGGTTCTAGCGAGGGATGGCCCGTCACAGGGGTAGTGGTCCAAAGGGCCAGACCCACCCCTTCTCGCCTGCTGTAGCTGCTGCTGTGCTGCTGTGGGACTGTCAGAAGACATGGCACTGGCGCTTCTCTTCACCCCTGCTATTGCAGCAGCAGCAGCCCCAGAAACACCAGCGGCAGTGGCAGCAGCACCGGAAAAACCAGCGGCAGCGGCAGCAGCACCAGAGCTATTAGCGGCAGCAGCACCAGCAAATCCGGACCCTCCATGCGGGTTCTGACTCGCCTCAAATCCAGATTCCGAGTTCAGCAGCCGAGCCTCCCCCAGGGGAGACAGGCTGGCAGGAGTGACGAGTAGACTGGGGGAGGCGAGAGGGCTATCTGGGGAAGGTACACCTGCTGCAGTGGGGGAAGGTGCACCTGGGGAGGGTGCACCTGGGGAGGCTAAAGCTGGGGTGGGGTGGAGGAAAGAGGGGGGGATGGAGGAGGGGACTTGGACCCTGAGTGATCGATTGTGCAGTCTGTTTCTGACGCCTGAGGGAAGAGTGCTGTTGTTGGGAGCGGAATGTAGCTGTTTCTGCTGCTGCTGCTGCTGCTGCTGCTGTATTTGTTGTTGCTGGTGCTGTAGTTGCTGCTGCCACTGCTGCTGTTGCTTCTCGTTATGCTGCTGCCTTCGCACCTGCATCTCCTGCTCCTGCTGCCATTGCTGTTGCTGCTGCTCCTGTTGCTGTTGCTGTTGCTGTTGCGGCTGCTGCTCTTGCACCCGCTGTATTCCCACCACCTGATGTTGCTTCTGCTGCTCCTGCTCCATCTCGAAACTCGACCCTGCCGCCCCAATGATAGGAGTGCCAGGAGCAGATCCCTGCTCCTTTGCACCGCATCCAACCACTTTGGGAGTACCACCAACCGAGCCTGACCCAGGTATACCACCACCTCCCCCTATGGTGGGAGTAGTAGGGCCGGAACCAGGTAGACCTGTTTGCAAGTTGGTTGGAGTGCCGGGGCGAGATGCTGATCGGCTTATGTTTACAGGGTGAGAGGCCACAGTGCCTTCCGAGGTGCACGGACCTGATGCCGGACCTGATGCCGGACCTGATGCCGAACCTCCGGGTGACTGCAGACATGCCGTAGCTTCCGGAGCACCCGAAACAGCCGTGCCAGTGGCACCAGAAGCAGCAGCGGCAGCAGCAGCAAGTGCAGCACTATTGCTACGACCAGCAGCAGCAGGAGAAGGAGCATTATCACGTGCAGCAGGCGAACAGTTATACCCTTGTGCACCCCCACCACTGAAGGAACGACCAAGAGCAGGAAACCTGCCATCAGCAGCAGCGGCAGCTGCAGCATCAGCTGCGGAAGCAGCAGAGCCGTTATACCCTTGTGTACCACCACTGGCGGAACGACCAAGGACAGGCAGCCTACCACCACCACCAGCAGCAGCGGCTGCTGCAGCAACAGCAGCGGCAGCGGCAGCGGCAACACCGGGAGGAGGGTTGGAGTGGGATGCGCGGTGGGAATGGGTGGTGTGCGGTTGGTGCAGATGGGGATGGTGGAAGGGAGCATCGGAATGGGAGGGAGTGGGGGTGGGGGAGGCTGAGGAGGGGGAGAGAGGGGTGGAGTGGGGGGTGGTGCTGCTGGTGGGGCTTTGAGCTACTTTCTTTCCCATGGAGCCTCGTTTGCGAGCTAAGGTGCTGTGGAAGGGGATTAAGGGGAACAGGGAAGAGGGTAGGGTGGTAGTGGACGAAGGGGAATGGGTACAGATGCAGGGAGAAGAGGAGACGAGGTCAAGAAACACACACACACACACACACACACACACAAACACACACACACACACACACACACACACACAAAGTACAGAGCGTAGAAGGAGGAGGACGGAAACGTACCCTTTAAGCAGGCTGACCACTGACGACACGTTTCTTCCTCCAGGCGCCATAGCAGCCATCACACTCCCATTCACTTTGCCTTCCATATTGCCGCTCCCAACCGAACCCGAGTTAAGCATGGGAGGACCGACCGCGCCTGCGCTTGCAGCAGGATGAGACCCTTCCGAGCCTGAGGCTGGGTAAGCAGCAGGATTTGCTGAGCCTGAGGTTGGGAAGGCGGAAGGGCTTGCCAGGGCTGATGGGGAGGGTTGGGAATGGGTGTTCGGCTGGGAATGGTACCGCTCCTGTTCCTGCCCCTGCCCCTGCCCCTGCTGCTGCTGCTTCTGGAATTCGTGCTGATTGTGCCCCTCAGGTGTTGCCGCTGATTGCTCTTGAGCTAGTACCGGCGGCCCCTCTTGTTGCTGCCTCACCTGTAGCAGTGCTTGCCTCTGTTGCTCCTTCTGCCGCTGTTGTTGTTCCTGCTGTTGTTGCTGCTGCTGCTGCTCCTGCTGCAATTGTTGAGGTTGCCCCTGCTGCTGTTGTTGAGGTTGCCCCTGCTGCTGTTGCTGCGGTTGCCCCTGCTGCTGTTGCTGAAGTTGCCCCTGCTGCTGTGCCTGCCCCTGCTGCTGTGCCTGCCCCTGCTGCTGTGCCCGCCCTAGCCCCTGCTTTTGCTGCTGCACCTGCCCCTGCTGTGCCTGCCCTTGCCCCTGCTTTTGCTGCTGCACCTGCCCCTGCTGTAGCTGCTGCGCCTCTCCCTGCTGCCCCTGCTGTTGTTGCTGCGCCTGCTGCTGCGCACTCTGATTTCTCCTGTTCTTAGCCCCCAGTTTGTGCTGCAGCCGATGCACCAACGACGATGCACTACTCTTCTTCTGCCCCTGCTTCTGCCCCTGCTGCTGCCCCTGCTGCTGCCCCTGTTGCTGCCCCTGTTGCTGTCCCTGCTGCTCACCCTGCTGCTGCCCCTGCTGCCCCCCCTGCAGCTGGTCTCCTACCCCAGGGTTCAACCCTGCTTGTTGAGTCACAGGCCCTCCCCGTGCCATCTGCCTTGTCCTCACTCCACTAAGCATCACCCCACCTGCCCCCGCTCCTCTCCCCCCTCCCCCTCCCCCTGCGCCAGTCCCCCTGCCTCCAGGGGAAGGCGGAATGGGAGGCTTAGGGGGAGTCCCCCCGAGCCTACCTGCTGCTGATCCCAGTCCAGCACTCACACCAGGACCACCAGGAGCACCAGGAGCAGCAACGGGAGCAACGAAGCCATTACCACCAGGACTGGCAGCAGCAGCAGCAGCAGCAGCAGCAGCAGCAGTGGGATTACCAGCACCACTCGTGGCAGCAGCAGCAGCAGCAGGAGGAGGAAGAGGTATCTGGAGGTTCCCGAGGATAGCAGCAGCGAGGGCAGCAGCGGAGGAGGAGAGGGCAGCGAGGTCAACGTGGCCCAGCGGCCCCTGCAGGGCGGCTATGGTGGCCTGCAGGTCCGAGGGCGACGCCAGTCGCTGCAGCAGCTCGTCCGTTGAGAGCGGCACGCCCTGGGCATTGACCAGCCGCCTGTGATGGGGGGGGGTACGGGTGAAGGGAGGGAGGGTATAGGCTGTTGACTAGCCTGACTGAAGGCAGCAGCAGCAGCAGCAGCAGCAGCAGCAGCAGCAGCAGCAGCAGCAGCAGCAGCAGCAGCAGCAGCAGCAGCAGCAGCAGCAGCAGCAGCAGCAGCAGCAGCAGCAGCAGCTCGTCCGTGGAGAAAGGCACGCCATGGGCGTTCATGAGCCGCCTGTGGGAATGAAGGGGTTTAGGGTTAGGGATTTGGGGTGTTAGTGAGCTTGAGTGAGTGCTGCAGCAGCTCGTCTGTGGATAGCGCCACGCCTTGGGCGCTCACCAGCCTGCTGTGTTGCTGTGGTTGTGGGTAGGGGCGCAGGGAGGGAGGATTATTTTTTAGTCGACTCGAAAATACGCCCACCAGCCGCCTGTGTTGTTGCGGTTGTGGGTAGGGGAGCAGGGAGGGAGGGTTCTAGAGGCACCAGCTGCTTCGGGAGTGGAGAGTTGTTGTAGTTCGGGGTTTAGAACTAGGGCTTAAAGTGGTGGTTACTCAGAGGACGCGAGCGAGACCACCCCCCCCCCAACCTGGCACAATCCAGACCAGACCTGGCAAAACCTCAGTCCTGGCACTTGCCTAAGTCATGGGACCTACCAAAGTCCTGTCACTTACCTGAGTCCAGGCACTTAAGTCCCAGCACTTACTGGATCTCTTGTGACTTGCTCCTTGTGATGGGTGCCTTGAGCCGCAACAGCCCCTGCAACCAAACAGAGATAGAAAGAGACAAACAAGAAGATTCTTTAGGTGCCTCAAAAGTTGCCCCTTGTGATGGGTGCCTTGAGCCGCAACAGCCCCTGCAGCCCGATAGAGACAGAGAGGGACAAACGAGCGGAATTTGACACACAGTCTTCAGCTATATATAGCAGAGATGCTCATGAGAAAGTGCATTCTGCAGTGGAGTGCAGCGGAGTGCAGTAGAGTGCAGTGGAGTGCAGTGCAGTGGAGTGCAGTGGAGTGCAGTGGAGTGCAGTGGAGTGCAGTGGAGTGCAGTGGAGTGCAGTGGAGTGCAGTGGAGTGCAGTGGAGTGCAGTGGAGTGCAGTGGAGTGCAGTGAAGTGCAGTGGAGTGCAGTGGAGTGCAGTGAAGTGCAGTGGAGTGCAGTGGAGTGCAGTGAAGTGCAGTGGAGTGGAGTGGAGTGCAGTGAAGTGCAGTGAAGTGCAGTGGAGTGCAGTGAAGTGCAGTGGAGTGCAGTGAAGTGCAGTGGAGTGCAGTGCAACACACTCTTGCCCACGCTGGCTGCTTCACACTCTAGAACGCACAAGAGTGAGATGGGTGCAACATGGACAGGGCTTGCATGGAATCAAGTACATAGCTCTCACAGGAGGTAGGTAGGTAGGCCATACAGAATAGTTGGGCGACTGTTGCTGCTGCTGCTGCTGCTGCTGCTGTTGCTGCTGCTGCTGCTGGTGCTGGTGCTGCTGCTGGTGGTGCTGCTGCTGTTGCTGCTGCTGTTGCTGCTGCTGTTGTTGTTGCTGCGGCGGCTGTTGCTGCTGCTGCTGCTGTGGCGTGCTTAGCCTCATTCTGCAGTTAAGAATCAACAAAAAGTACACCAGAGCAGGTGCACGAAGAGAGTGTTTTCATGAGTTCTCAATTTCTATGAAGCCCATGCCTAGCTGCGTTCTGTGGGTGGGATACAGCAGAGATCACACGGGACAGATGCACCGAGAAGAAGTGCAGTGCTGCTTGTGCGCGTGTGCGTGAGAGGGAAGAGAGGAAGGGGGGGGAAGGGGGAGGGGATGAGCGGGGGAAGGAGGCGGGGGGGGAGTGGGGGAGGACGAGGGGGATTTGCAGTCAGGAGAGGGCAAAAGGGGGCTGGATGTGGAGGTATGGAGGGAGGAACGGAGGGAGAGTAGGAAGACGACCATTGCCCAGTGAAGAGCGTTTAATCAAGTCAAAGTCATTGCACCTGCGCTGTTGAGGAGGTGTTTCTTGCTGTTGGGGAGGCCTCATCTGCTGCTGGGAAGGTGTGAACTGTGTCGATTGCTGCCATTGCTGCTGCTGCTGCTGCTGCTGCTGCTGCTGCTGCTGCTGCTGCTGCTGCTGCTGCTGCTGCTGCTGCTGCTGCGGCTGTTGTGGCTGTTGTGGCTGTTGCGGCTGTTGCGGCTGTTGTGACTGTTGTGGCTGTTGTGGCTGTTGTTGCTGCTGCAGCGACCCTGACCCTACACTCCGGGCCACGTCAAACCCACTCACTGACGGCATGGCAAAGAGAAACGGCTCATTGGCGTCGGTGACTGGACCATCACTCCCTTGCCCCTGCCCTTGGTATTGCTGCCCCTGCTGCTGCTGCCCCTGTCCCTGCTGCTGCTGTTCTGGCAGCAGCCGTTGCTGCAACTGCTGCCGAGAGGTGGGACGGGGGAGATTCACTGGAGGAAAAGGACGAGGCGGCAGGGCTTGTATTGGGGAGTTGGCTATCTGCGGGACAACGGGAAGAAGAAATGGAAATACATACATTTGATGCTGCTGCTGCTGGGCCTCAATAAAAACCTATGTATCAGTATTATAAAAACTTTGAAAATATACATTTCATGACTTTGAAGAAGAAGACAAAAAAGGGGTTTTTCAGGACCAGTAGTTTCTTGCAGAGACTTACATCAGCGGATAGCCAGCTCTGGAAGAGCTCCTCGCTGTTGAGACGGCTGAGCTTCGGTGAAGGGTACACCGCTGCAGCTGACAGCCCTGCTCTTCCTCCCATGCCTGCTCCTCCTACCGTGCCTGCCGCTGCAGTGCCTGCTCCTCGTCCTGCTGCTGCTCCCCATACGTTTATAGCTGGAAAGGGCAAGGGCGAACCCATGCCTGCTTCCCCCTTCCCTTCTCCCCCCGCCGCCCCAGTTCCCCCCTGGGTTCCCAGCCCCTCACTCCCTTGCTCTCCAGTCCCAAAGCTTAACGGGGAAGAGCCGTCTGCGCTGCTAAGGCCACCAGCAGCACCAGTGGCAGCGGCGGAATCAGCAGCGGAAGCAGCAGCGGCACCAGCAGCACCGCCATCAGAGGTGAGTCCAGCAGCCGCGGTGCTGTCTAGGAACGAACGGACGAATAGGTCTTCCGGGGACATGGAGGCTGAAGGATCTCCCGATGCTGCACAGAATGGGAGCATTCAGTAAGGGAGAAACTACTGTATTGTTCGAAAGGCGGTGTAATGCCGATGCTTGACCAAGTGGAGTAACTGAAAACAGTACGGGAAATGCGGGGTTGAAGTTCGTGAAATTGACGCTCTCATTTTTTTTTTCTGCAAGTCATTTTCAATGCGCAAGCACAAAGAGAACGCCAACAAGAACCAAGGAGAACTAAGATAATGCTGCGTAGATAAGGAGACTCGGTGGCTACTAACGCGCGTTGCTCAAGCTCTCTCACCGTTATTGACGGCTCCAGAGTTACCAAGAGCCATGGCGCGAGCCTGGAGCTCGGTGGAGATGCTTCGCGTGATACGGCGGTTCGACAGGTCCATTATTCAATGGTGCTCCCAGGCGTGCAAAGTCCGACTATACCAGATGCAAAATCATAAATACTTTCTTAGCCAACTCGAAAGTTACTGCGGTTCGACAGGTCGATTATCTAAACGTGCTGCGAGGCTTGCTAAGTGGGACCAAAACTCGAAATAATATTAAAAGAGTTAGCACCAGTCGAACCAGAACAGGGGTTTTTTAATAAGAGCAATGCGGTACATTCGGACATAAGTAAACGTCGACGCTAGTGGCGCTCCGTTATAGACTGGAGCGATTACGGATATATAGTGGCGCTTTAGTGCTAGAAGCGAACACACAGAACGTATCCCTTGCACCTACTTGACCACGACGACCTAAAGAGTGCGAGGACCACACCGTCAACTGTGGGAAACCTAAACTATCTATTAATTATCGATACCTCCTGAACCACCAGCGTCTAGAAGTCACCGTTCCAACCTAGAGATCAGTTATGGCAAGGCAAGAACTCCAGTCTCTAGAAAAAAGAAGATATTCACAACCCTAGAATTTCGATTTCCGAAGCTGGCCTTGGCCAGTGGCCCAGTGACTGGCGGCGGCGTTTGTTCCCGCGCGATTCTTCCCTCCCATATCCAAACCGCATTGCCTTGTGTACTGTATGGGTTCGCCTGACCAACAGTGTGCTTTGCAATGATTCAAAATCCTGCTTTGCCCCTCACTGCCTTGTCTTTGGCCGAACCTGGACGGAACACGGAGCCTCGTGGAGGAACCAATATCGAACCTCCGCCGCACCGTAGCTACAGTTCTCGTCTCTACATCCTACATAAACATTTTCTATACCTTACAGGGAAACAATACCTTAAACTTCTCTACATCTCTATACTATTGCTCACCGCAACACGATAATACAGAGATCTATCTTGTACAGCCTCTTCTTAGGTCCATATCTTACACTTGATTCATTATATACAAAAGGGACACATACCTCAACCCTCCTGGGGACCAGTTTGAATGCTGCTTTCCTAAAAACACCCAGGTTTAGAAACCTTCATCACTCCGTTCCCACCATCGCACTCCCCCCACCATCCTCCCTATCCGTCTCAACATTCATACCTGTACCACCATCAGAACCTCCCATTTCCATTCCCAAACCTCCGGCAACAAGAGAGGGGAGCCCCCAAATGCGCACAGTACCATCATCCGAGGCTGTAGCAAACATGTGTGGCCGGGTGGCCGGCCAAGAGACGGCGTTTACCGTCCCGGAGTGCCCCGGAAGCACCTCCATAACCTCGCCGGTGTCGCGATGCCACATGTACACCTGCACAACAAAAGAAGGGAGGGGGAAGGTGGGTGGAGAGTAGTGTTTTGAACCGCAGTGCCAGAAGGCCCAAGGGCAGGCGAGAAAGTACCGTGAGCACATTTGGAGAATGGTTGCTCACCTCATTGCTTACCTGAACGTCCTTACTTACTTGGGCATCTTCACTGCCGCTAATGATGAAGCGCCGATTACCTTGAGACATCTCAAAAAGAGTGCTCATCTCATGCTTACCTAAACATCGTCACTTACTTGAGCATCTTCACTTCCGCTGATGATGAAGCGCTGGTCATGGCCGCCAAAGCAGGAACGGATCACGAAGCGGCCTTGGACCTGGGAGGGATAAAAAATGGAGAATCACAAAGCAAGGAAGCGATGTTGTAATGAATAAACAATGGCTCGGACAAATGTGACGATCGAGCATATACATTGCATATCGGCCCCGCAATTTGTACATTGCATACAGGAATATGATTGGGTGGATCCACAAGTTATTCCTGACAGCTTTACAACCTGCAGACGCAACCCCTTTCTGCTGACCGGCCCATAGTGATTCACCTGCCCGCTGTAGGAAAAAGCTGGCTTGTCAGGAGGCTTGGCAGCACAGATATCCTGAATGCACCAGAGATGGATGTCGCCTGATGATAGATTCACCAACACCCATCTGGTTGTTTTGGAACGTAAGTGGGGGGAGAGTGGGGGCGGGAGGGAGTGAAAGAAAAGACACTTGCTGAGAGGAGGTTTGACAGCAAAGATGTCCTGAACTGAATGCACCAGAGATGGATGTCGCCTGATGATAGATTCACCAACACCCATCTGGTTGTTTTAGGGGGGAGAGTGGGGGGTAAGGGGAGTGAAAGCATTGAGGCACTTGCTGTGAGGAGGTTTGGCAGAGCGGATGTTCTGAATGCACCACAGATGGACGTCACCCGATGATCACTTTTGAGAATTCTCAAAAGTGATTTCAATGCACCAGAGATGGACGTCACCCGATGATAGGTTCACCAACACCCATATGGATGTTTCAGAGAAGAGTGGGGGGGAAAGAGTGGGGGAAAGGGGAGAGACACTTGCTTGACTTAGTGTCCTTCACCACGTGTGCTTGAACTTTTGAGTCGAATTTCTTGAAACTCCTTGTTTTAGCAGGAGACAACAACAGATCGTATCGTACTGTCAATCCTTTGCTAGAAGTTTCTTCTAGACTGCTTCTCGCCTAATCACATGGCTGAGTGTGAGCAGCGTAGCTTTCCTCTCACCTGCCATCCACAGACATGCTGAGCGACGTGATTGACTTGGTCTCCTTCACCACATGCTCTTTTCCCGACGGCAGCTCGTGCACTCGAATCTCCTTCTCGTTGCACACTGACACCTGGGTAGAGGAGAGAACAGAGAGGATGGACAATAAGAGCCAGCGGGTAGCTCCTGTGGCTGAACCTCCTTCTCGTTGCACGCACGTGTGTGCACACACACACACAGACAGAACCAAGCGCATATGTGCGTGCATTCATGCACATGCCAGCAGTCGGAGCTGATAGCAAGGTCGTTGATTCGAGGGAAATCATCCCCATCCTGCTGCCACAGGTGCCGCCCCACCCCATTCCAGTGGAGTGCGGTGGAGTGCGGTGGAGTGTGGAGTGCGGTGAGAGTCCTCACCACATGCTAGCAGTCGGAGCTGATAGCAAGGTCGTTGATTCGAGGGACATCATCCCCATCCTGCTGTCACAGGTGCCGCCCCACCCCATTTTGGTGGAGTGTGGTGGAGTGCGGTGGAGTGCGTGGAGTGGGGTGGAGTGCGGTGAAGTGCGGTGGGAGTCCTCTTACCACGTGGGAACAGTCGGAGCTGATAGCAAGGTCGTTGATTCGAGGGAAATCACCCCCATCCTGCTGCCACAGGTGCCGCCCCACCCCTCCCCATGAGGGCAGCTCGCTTCCCTCCACGTCCCACACACACACTGTGCGATCCGTCGCCGCAGATGCTGACAAGAAACGCCGCCCGCAGGAGAACCACGCACAGGCGGAAATGGCCTGGGAGAGGGATGGACGAGTGAAGGGGGAGGGAAATGAAGCGGGAGAACGGAGTATGATAGAGGGTGGTGGAGTGAGGTGGAGTGGGGTGGAGTGCGATGGAGCTCACACACATGTTGCAGTGGCGAGGGGGAGTATGGTTACAGCAACAACTCACATCGCGGTGTTTGGAGAAACGGCGCAGCACGCGACCAGTGGTGGCATCCCATCGGCACCCGGAGAGAAGAGGGACGAAGGGAAGAAAAGAGGAAGTGTGATCAAGACAGCAGCAACTCACGTCGTGGTGTTTGGAGAAGGAGCGCCGCAGGCGACCAGAGGTGGCATCCCAGAGGCACACGAAGGGGGGAGGGAGGGAGGGTCCCATGACAACAGTCCCCGTCAGATTACCAACAACTCACATCGTGGTGTTTGGAGAAGGAGCGCCGCAGACATGTTTCGAGGTTGGAAAAAAACACACACACACACACACACACACACACACACACACACATACACACACACACACACACACACATACACACACACACACACACAGAGCAGCACTCACGTCGTGGTGCTTAGAGAAGGAGCGCAGCAATCGACTGGTGGCGGCATCCCAGAGGCACACAAAGAGGTCGTTGCCGGCTGTGAGCAGCAGCAAGAGGGGCCTGGCAACCTCACAGTCCCAGGCACGTTACCAACAACTCACATCGTGGTGCTTAGAGAAGGAGCGGAGCAGGCGGCCAGTGGTGGCATCCCAGAGGCACACAAAGGGGTCGTTGCCGGCTGTGAGGGAGGCAGGGAGTCAGCAACTCACATCGTGGTGTTTGGAGAAGGAGCGCAGCAATCGACCAGTGGCGGCATCCCAGAGGCACACGAAGGGATCGTTGCCGGCTGTGAGCAGCAGCGAGTCATCTGGGCTCCACGCCACGTAGGAGAGCGGCAGGGAGTGGCCGGCGAGTGTATGCAGGCGGCGGTGGGAGAAACTGTCATGGATCTGTGTCGGAAAAGGGTCACGGGAGGAATGGGAGCAGTAGCGTTTGAGCAGCAGCGAGTCGTCTGGAATCCACACCACGTGGGAGAGAATGGCCGACGAGAGTGCGCTGGTGACAGTGGGAGAAACTGTCAACGATCTGACAAGGGAAGGGAAATGGGTGGGGGGGAGTAGGGTTGGAAGGAAGGGGGTGGAGGGAGGGATGGGGAAGGGGTTAGTTGTTGCCGGCTGTGAGCCACAGTGAGTCATCTGGGCTCCACAATTCAGTGCAAGTCAGTGTGATTCAGTGCGATTCAGTGTGGTGCGGGTAGGTCAAGGAGCAAACCTCACCTGCCAGACGACAGAAGTGTGGTCCTTACAGGCAGTGGCCAGCTTGGTGCCGTTGTGGGAGATGGGGGTTGAGTGTGATTCAGTGTGGTGAGAGCAGATAAAGGCCTCACCTGCAACACGACAGCCGTGTGGTCTTTAGAGGTAGTGGCGAGCCTGGTGTCATGCCATCGTGAGAAAACTGCACGCACCACACCTCGTCGCTGTACTGCTCCAACACACCAATGGCACCTCAGGTGAAAAGAGTTTGAGTCCGGTTCAGTGCGGTGGTGGACCGCAGAGGAAAGCAAGCCTCACCTGCCAGACAACAGCCGTGTGGTCCTTAGAAGCAGTAGCGAGCCTGGTGCCATCGTGGGAGAACTGCACACACCACACCTCGTCACTGTGTTGCTCCAACACCTGAGAGGCAGAGGAGGGTTGGGGGGGTTGGGGGGTGGGGGAGTAGGAGAGAGGGTGGGTGGCGGGGAGTGCCGTTATGTGAGAACTGCACACACCACACCTCGTCGCTGTGCTGCTCCAACACCTGAGAGAGGGGGGGGGGGGAGAGGCGGGGGAGGAGAGGAGTGAGAGAGATATTGAGGAGTAAAAGTGAGGGACAAGGTGAGTTGAGAGAATTGCACGAACCACACCTCGTCGCTGTGCTGCTCCAACACCTGCAAAAACGGCGACGAGGTGTATCTATGAGTTACCACCGGATACGTGGCAAAATGGTTAGTTAATGTGATCACCTCTCTACCAGTGGTGGTAGTAATGAGTTTACAACCCAACCTGGGTGGTAACACTAGTGGATTGGATTACACACACCCCCACCTGAGCGGTAACACTGAATACACCCCCACCTCAGCGCTAGCACTGTTCACCCCTACCTGAGTGGTAACACTGAATACACCCCTACCCAAGTGGAAACACGAAATACACCCCTACCTGAGTGGTAACCGTAGGAATCATTTCCCGCCAGCACGAATGGTCCGTGAACAGTGTCAGCGCCTCGTCAGCCACGTTGTGGTAGTGGCACCGCTCTCGACCCATCTCAACCGTACTCTCTATAAGCTGCTCCAATCTCCGATCAGGAACCATCACTGACGCAGGCAGCAGCGCCTGTACCGCTTTCAGAACCGAGCCTCGGGATTCCGAACCTGTCCCGGGCCAGCCGGACCGAGCCTTGAGGTCCTCAGGTCCGGCGCACAGGAGCCAGCCCGCCAGTTGGTGCAACCGCTTCGGATCCGAGGCTGTGGGCCCGAGCCTGCCTCGGAGGGTCGTCAGGGCTTCCCGAACCTCCCCAGCTTCGACAAGCTCGAGGAATTTCTGCTCCAGGAGAAGGAATTCGGCGTGCCGAAGCAAAGATGGGTCCAAACCTTGTAGGTTCGACAAGATTGCGACGCTCTCCTCCCATTGCCCAGCCATAATTGCTTGCCGAAGCTGCGCTACAGGCTTGGATTCCACAGCTACGCCCGATTCCGCTTCCAGTTGCGCCGCTATTGAATCATACCCTAGCGAACGCAGCGATTGCTCTATAAGGCGGATAAACTCCACTGTGCGAATCTGACCCTTGGATCCAAGCCGGTCGCGATCGGACGGCTGGCAACTCCTCCCTACTTGCCCCTCTCCTGCAGAGTCCGCAGCACCATCCCCTGCCCCCATCCCCATGGAAAGGGTCGCAAATCGACCAATCGTGGCGTGACAGATGGCAGCAGCTCCGGCGGGGTGGTCCTCGGAAGATTTCCCGGGATTCGCGGCGGCAGATGCGCAGAACGAGCACGAATCAGAACCGCGGGCGGACGCCGCAGAGCCGTTGTCGTGGTACGGGCAGGAAAGCTTGGCGCGCTTCGGTGACGGCTCGGCGGCACTGCCAGCGAACGTAGTGGCTGACACGTCACGACTACTGACTGGGTAACTGGCGCGACGAGCGGCGGGGCCAGCGGCGGCGGCGGTGGCCGCAGTAACGGATTCTACGTTAGGGTTCGGATCGTGACTGCTGGAAGAGGGATTGCTGTCGGACCGCAGATCGCCTTCACTGCCCATGAACAGGCAATCCTGGCCGTTGATCTGGACGGCGTTCACGGCGCGGATTGGAAATCAGCAGAATCACATGGAGGTCCAAGCGCACTAGGCGTACTACCACACTGTGCGCCAGTATCCTTATGAGTAACTGCTTGGACAAAGCATCCTAGTTTTGCCGCTGTTTTACTAACGGTAATTCTTCTTGAATTCGTATCCACACAGAAACCAAGTACTGCATCTTACCGAGGACTCTTATATCGGTTGTACTGTTCAATCGACGGAGCTCGACATGGTTACCTCTTGACGAAAACAAGTGCGAGAGCGAAGACCGAGCCAGCTCGCCAATAACAAAACACAGCTGGCAGTTACCTCGTCCCTCGTTCCGAAATTACATTCAACGAAACGTGGCGATTTGTGCATTTCTGTACGGGGGACCAGCTAGAGCTGGCCGAGCTGGCGAAATTCCAGCGAGGACTACACTCGAACCACAGCAGCCAACCTCGAATAATATACATGAACGCGGCTCCAGATGAAGCCGACTCGGCTAAAATGCGCCTCCCTGAAATTGCACATTCAACAGCACATTCAATATGAACACCAACACTCCACTCATGCCTCTGCTTGCACTGCCTTTGGTGGCATTCCTTGCATGATAGTACTAGGTTGATTGGTAGCTGCTGCTGCCAGTCCAGTCCATTTCTTCAGTTCAGTTGATTGAGTGTTCTTATTTCGAGCATTTTCTATTCTCCATATGGTCGTGAAACAGAGTAGTGTTCGCGGGGGTAGTAGAGGCGTGATCATGACTCTGAGTTTGTTACCTCAGTTTTTCCTTTTTTGGCTGGTGTCAACGCTTCAATGGCCAGCGCATTCGAGCGCTTTGAGGATGGGGAGTAGTATGCGTACGAAAACTTACAATCACGCGTATAGGAAGCTGCAGCAGACTCCCGTTTCAGCATGCCGAGCCACTCCTCTTGCAGATTGCGATTTCTTCTTTCAAGGAGACAGAAATTATGTTCCCATTTTCCAGTAAGCAGTTTTGTTTTCTGGTATCTTCTGATACTGTAATTTCTACTCAATTGAATTGACATATCATTTGACTAGGGATCGGTGGGGTGGCACCGATTGACTTCGGGAGACTCACCCTTCGGTGCCACGTGGCGGCACCACATTCCAACCTTCAAGTGCAAGGCGAATTCGGTGTGTTCGGTGTGAAATTCGGTGGTCGAATTTCACCCCAACCGAAATGTTACACGCGGCGCATTCGCGACGCGAGTGTAGCGATGTGATGTTACATGTGCGGTTCGATGTAATGCATTTGCTATAAATCGACCTGCCTTGTATGCATGCTTTATACTGAAATCCTGAATCTTCTTGTACATGGTCCATTCGAACCAAAATTCCAGAGAGGTCTATCCTTGCTTCTAAGAGCACTAGCAATCACGTGAACGCCAATATCTCGGCGTATACTTGGGCGATTAACGTGTTTGACGGCTTGTTGGAAAGCCAAGACTGTGCTCTATCGTTTAGTGCAACTTAGAGTTCCTGCAAAGTAGAGGAGACGCCTCTACAACAATTTTATTCCCAAATTTCTCAGGCTTCCTAGCGTCCCCGATGGTCAAGTGACAGCAACTCCAATCGTAGACAAGTACGGCAACGTTCTCGAATCAGCCAATAGCGGGGACAATACACTCTTCTGCATCTCTCCTCGTTTCGTCCAATCCTACACCTCCAACCAGTTCTACATCACCGGAAACCCTCCAACCCTGCGAATGCGCGGCATCAACGCTCCTTTCACCCGCGCAGCCTTCGAGAATATCTGCGCAGTTCTTGCACTCACATCGGCAGCTATTCCAGAGAACGGCACTGTTCTGAACCTCAATCCAGGAGATGAGAACCAGAGGGATTGTCCTGACGCGCGCCGCTGCATAGCGTTTAAAACAGGTCCCAAGGGACCCAGTGGTTCATGTGCTGGCAATGTGACTCAGGCGCCAGTTTCAGCGCCCAGCCCTGCCCCTGTGCTTGCTCCCAGCCCTGCCCCCGTGCCTGCTCCCAGCCCTGCCCCCGTGCCTGCTCCCAGCCCTGCCCCCGTGCCTGCTCCCAGCCCCGCCCCCGTGCCTGCCCCTAGCCCTGCCCCCGTGCCTGCTCCCAGCCCTGCCCCCGTGCCTGCTCCCAGCCCTGCCCCCGTGCCTGCTCCCAGCCCTGCCCCCGTGCCTGCTCCCAGCCCCGCCCCCGTGCCTGCTCCCAGCCCCGTCCCCGTGCCTGCTCCCAGCCCCGTCCCCGTGCCTGCTCCCAGCCCCGTCCCCGTGCCTGCTCCCAGCCCCGTCCCCGTGCCTGCTCCTAGCCCCGCCCCCGTGCCTGCCCCCAGCCCTGCCCCCGTGCCTGCACCAGGCCCTGCTCCAGTCCCTGCACCTGCTCCAAAACATTGTGCCACTCCCCCACCGCCACTACTCTGTCGCCCTGCAACCCCACCCCCCATCTCAAAGCCACCACCACCACCTCGTTGTCGCCCTACAACCCCACCCCCCGTCCCAAAGCCACCACCACCGACCCCAGCGGCCCTTCCTAGCCCTCCTCCACCTCCTCCACCTCCTCCACCTCCCCCTTCACCTGTTCCTTCACAGCCATCTCCGCCACCCCCTTCACCTCCACCTCCTCCACCTCCCCCTTCACCTGTTCCTTCACAGCCATCTCCGCCACCCCCCTCACCTCCACCTCCTCCACCTCCCCCTTCACCTGTTCCTTCACAGCCATCTCCACCACCCCCCTCACCTCCATCTCTACCCCCACCCCCTCCTCCGCCGCCACCTCCACCTCCTCCACCACCAGCACAATGAGTTAGTGGACCATCATTTTCAGTGCATTTGCCAAACCGCACTTCTGATGTATGCTGTGTATCGATATTGTTTAAGATCCCTTTCTGAATCTATTCTAGACCAGAAAAGAAGAAGAAAAATCTCTATGCAGAAGCTTTCATTCATTAAAAGCTTATAAAGTCAATATGCTCTAAGGATTTCATCAAATACCGATAGGATGAGTTTGATGTCGTGTCATGCTTTGCACTCCAAATTCTTCCTGCTTGCAACCGTCTTCGATAAATAATTTTATCGCTCGGCCTTCATCCTTGCTGCAGTCATCTTTGCGTTGAGACTAAATTACTTCTTGAATGGTTAACAACAATTCCATATCGTAACACTCCCCTTCATTTCTGAAGGAGGGAAGTATTTACGCGTTTGGTTATACCGCCGATGTTCGCGCAGTGGAGGTGCCGCTGACGTGGCAGCTTCTTAGTGAGGAAGTCAGCTGCCATGTCACCAGTGTAGCAGTAAGTCAATATGACTTTGGCCTTGTCAATCTCGTCTTTGACGAAGAAGTACCGGAGCGCAACATGCTTTGTGCGGTTGACGAAGCTGGATTTGTTCACGATTTTGATCGCACTTTGGTTGTCGCAGTGAAGTTTGAAGTTCGCGGATGTCGTAATTTTCGCCTTATGTAGCAGTTCCTGAAGATAAAGCCCTTCGCGAACTGTTGATGTGGCAACGATGAATTTGGCTTCAGGGGAGGAAAGTGCTACAATTTCCTATTTCTGGGAGTTCCACGAGATTGGTCCAGTGGCCTCGAGGCGGAACATGAAGACGGTTCGTGACCGTCGATTTGTTGGGTCTGATGCGTTATCGGCATCCACGTAGCCGACTTGTCAGAACTATATTGTAGGCTGTAGTGGGGCACTCCTTATGGGGTACAGTATTGCTAGGTTTTGCCTATACAAACCTTGTACTGTCATGTTTCTAGTCATTCCTCGTTCTATCTTTCACATGGTATCAGAGCAGGTTCCCTAGTGGGAACGTGTTTTTAAGGGCCCACCACGATTTTTTTCCCTGCCCTGCCCGAAGCGCGCTGCCGAGCTTCCCTGCCCTGTCTCGCGCCTCGCGCCTGCCTCACCTGCGCCCTTGCGCCGTCGAGCGCATGCCCTACCCGCGCCGTCGAGCGCATGCCCTACCCGCGCCATCGAGCGCCTGCCCTTGCTGCGGCCGCCGTCGCGCGCCTGCCCTACACGCCGTCGAGCGCCTGCCCTGCCTGCCGCCCGTCGAGCGCCTGCCCTGCCTGCCGCCCGTCGCGGCCCTGACCTCGCCGCCCGTCGCGGCCCTGCCCTGGTGCCGCCTCGTCGCGGCCCTGCTCTGCCGCCGCCTCGTCGCGGCCCTGCCCTACGGCCGCCCCGTTGCGGCCCTCACCTAACCGCCCATCACGGCCCTGCCCTGCACCCGCCCCTGGTAAGCGCTCCTGCTGCCCGTCGCGTCGTGCGCCCCTGCTGCCCGCCGCGCCGTGCGCCCCTGCAGCCCGTCCCGTCGCGCGCCCCTGCAGCCCGTCGCGTCGCGCGCCCCTGCAGCCCGTCGCGTCGCTCGTCGGCCCTGCCCGTGCCCGTCGCGTCGCCAGAGCGGGCTGCCCCAGCCCGCCGCGACGCCCGTCTGCCCTGCCTGCCTGCGCGCCGCCACTGCCTGCCCCGCGTCGCGCCGCCCCGTGCAAGCCGCCCGCGCGCAGACCGTTGCAGCCCGCGCGCCGCCCGTCTGCAGCCCGCGAGCCTCCCCTGCAGCCCGCGAACCGCCCCTGCAGCCAGTGCGCCTGCCTCTTGCAGCCAGCGCACTGCCCCTGCAGCCCGCGAGCCACCCCTGCAGCCCGCGAGCCGCCTCTGCAGCGCCCAGTGCGCCCTGCCAAACCCTAAAATAAATAAATAATTAAAAAAAAAAACCCTAGGTGCTGCTGCCCTAGGAACTACTGCTTGCTGCTGCCTACTACTGCCCTTTTGGCCGCGCGCCGCCTTTTCCTGACAGTGCGCCGCCTCGACCTACCCTAATGCATGTTCGCCGCCCTGCCTTTCCACTATGACGTCTCTTCGTGGTAGCAGTGGGAGTGGTGGCAGCGGTGGTGGCAGTCTAGGCGGAGCTGCTCGGTGGGGAGTTTCTGGCGGTGGCCAGATACAGCTCCAGCGACGTTCGCGCGAGTCCCTCACGCCCCAGCAGCTTCGTGAGTGGTACGCTAGTTGGGGTTGTGGCGGCCGCCGTAGTGGTTGTCGCCCTGGAGCTGGTCAGTCGGGAGCGTCTGGCGGTGGCCAGATGCAGCTGCAGCGGCGTCCGCGCGAGACACGTACGCCCCAGCAGCTTCGTGAGTGGTACGCTCAGAGTAGAGGGTCTCGGAGTACCGTTCGCTGCCCGTACGTCATTCGTACAGGTGATCGGGCTGGTCAGGCTTGCGGGACGGTTGGTCACACACAGTCCCGCTGCTTCGCCCGTCTGAGCGACGTCTGGCGTACCGAGTTTGGCGACGAGGCTGAGCTCCCCGACTGGGTGGAGCTGCTTAGGCAGCGGGTGGATATCTTTGCTCTTAACTATGATGCTATCCTCACTGCCATGTATGCACTGCCTACTAGTAATGAGGGTGCCTGTTACCTGTGCGTACCGCCTGACCTAGGTATAGAGTCTGCTGCTCTAGGTGCTGGTGAGGCTGCTGCTCTCGGTGCTAGTGCGTCTCCTGCTCGAGGTGCTGGTGTGGCTGCTGCTCTAGGTGCTAGTGAGTCTGCTGCTCCAGGTGCTGGTGAGGCTGCTCTCTCAGGTACCGTGTCGGCTCAGGTCTTGCACACTTTCATCCTTGACTCAGGTGCTTCCCGCTCCTTCTTTCGCGACTGCACCACACTCTCGCCGCTCAGTCGGCCAGTGGCAGTCTCTCTGGCTGACCCCTCTGGGGGTCCGGTCCTTGCCCACTCCTCCACGGTTCTGCCGTGTCCGGCGGTCCCGTCTGGCTCACTGTCTGGCCTCCACCTCCCCTCGTTCTCCACGAACTTGGTGAGTGGAGCTGACCTTCAGGACGCGTGGGTTGACCAGTTCACTCCTGGAGGTCAGCGGGTGACCCACTGTTCGTGTGCTCGGACGGGCCGGCACCTGGCCACGTTCACCCGTCAGCCTGGATCGAGCCTGTACACCCTGACTACCGTGTCTCCTCCGGTTGCTGAGTCTGGTCAGGTAGCTGCGTCTGGTCAGGTGTTTGCTGCAGCGTCCCGGTCTGGTCCTGAGTCTGCCCCCTGCTCGTGTCGCCTCCTGTCTCACCAGACTCTCCTCTGGCACCACCGCCTTGGTCACCCCTCCCTGCCTCGTCCCCGAGGCATGGCCTCCCGTGTCCTTGTCTCTGGTCTCCCCTGGTCCCTCCCTCCCCTTCCTCCGGGGCCTGCCCCTACCTGTGTTCCCTGCGTCGAGGGCCGGCAGCGCGCCGCTCCTCACTCCTCCGAGTTTCCTCCGACAGAGGCTCCGCTGCAGACTCTCCACATGGACGTGTGGGGCCCAGCCCGCGTCCGTGGACAGGGTCACGAGCGTTACTTCCTGCTGGTTGTTGACGACTACTCGCGTTACACCACAATCTTCCCCTTGCGCCGCAAGGGTGAGGTCACTGAGGTGTTGATCGACTGGATCCGCGCTGCCCGTCTCCAGCTCAGAGAGAGTTTCGGCTCGGACTTTCCTGTTCTGCGTCTGCACTCCGACAGAGGTGGAGAGTTTTCCTCTGACCTTCTGCGAGCCTTCTGTCGTGCGGAGGGCATCCGCCAGACGTTCACGCTTCCGGCCTCTCCACAGCAAAATGGGATTGCTGAGCGCCGCATTGGCATGGTCATGGATGTCGCTCGTACGTCCATGATCCATGCGGCTGCTCCCCATTTTCTGTGGCCGTTCGCGGTTCAGTACGCGGCGCATCAGATCAACCTCCAGCCCCGGGTCTCCATGCCGGAGACCTCCCCTACTCTGCGGTGGACGGGGAAGGTTGGCGATGCGTCTGCGTTCCGTGTCTGCGGATCTCGAGCTTTCGTCCGCGACTTGTCTGCGGACAAGCTATCCTCCCGTGCTGTTCCCTGCGTCTTCCTTGGCTTCCCCTCTGACGCGCCTGGTTGGCAGTTTTACCACCCCACCTCGCGCCGTGTTCTGTCCTCTCAGGACGTCACGATTGACGAGTCGGTTCCTTACTACCATCTCTTCCCCTACCGCACTGCCCCCCTCCCCCCCCCCGCCGCTCTTCCTCGCGCCAGGTCCTCCCCCGGTAGACCCCCTCCTCCCTCAGGGTCCTGCCCCCTCAGGTGTGTCCCAGGTAGACGCAGTCGAGCCTGTCGAGGTAGCTGTTGACTCTGGTGCTGCTAGGGGTGCTGAGCCTGCGGGTGCCGGGTCTGGGGGTGCTGAGCCTGAGCGTGTGGAGCCTGGGGGTGCTGAGTCTGGGGGTGCTGAGCCTGGGGTTGCTGAGTCTGGGGGTGCGGAGCCTGAGGGTGCTGAGCCTGCACGTGTGGAGTCTGGAGGTGCTGCGCCTGGAGGTCCTTCGGGTGCTTCGTCCCGGTGGGAGCCACTCTCTCCACAGCAGCTGCGCGAGTGGTTTGCTCGCCGCTGGAGCCGTGCTGCTGGAGCTGGTGGTGCTACGGGCGCTGGAGGTCCTGCTGTGCTGGAGCTGCTGGGG